CGGATATGAAAACAACATAATTTCCCGTAAACCAATACTAGGCGCCTCACGATACATTTATGATGAAACTGATTAAATTTTCCTAATGAATTAAAATGTTTTCAAATAGTAACGACATTTAATATGGTTAGTATATTGGTATGCTTGACCCAAAGTTTGAAAACTGAACATTAATAGGAATTGTGAGTACATTAACTGTCTGGCCCATTCTGAGCGAATACGACTTCGACGGAATGACAAACATCCCAAAAGTCGAATCAATTGCGCGCATTCAAGATGTCTTTGGAAGAGTCACAGTCATCTGAACATCGAAACTGGAGCTACCAGACCAGCTACAGATTCTCATACTGAATTCGGCTGTTTTTTACCATAGTGTTTTTTAAAATAGAAAAAACGGCAGTTAGGGTTCAGAATATGATAAAATTATGTAGTTGTACATTGGTGTACAGTGACACGCGCGTGAAGGAAGATGGTATGCGTCAAATCCACAAAGTGTCCCAAACTACAATAAAACAATGCCATTGACATTGATATTGACAACAAAGATATTGTTGTTCATAAAATGTATTTTTTAGATGAATTTGATATCCAATGTAACAGTAATCCGACTACGGGTTTGATTCATGTGAATTACATGTATGCATTCCTTTCTATTTGATGTAATTCCCGTACTTTTACATCGACTATCATTTCAAAATGCACTTATTAGTATGTTAATTTTAATAATCCAAAAGCAGTGATTATCACTCGCCATTTTGTCCAAATGCCCAACGACCTAGGACGTTCATTAAAAGCTGACAGCCGAGCCTGTAATTACAAAGGTCACTACTTCACATAACAACGTTATTCTTCTCCAGTAAGATGTGTGCGTTCATTTCTATCCGGGTGAATTAATTTGTTACACCTGTTCACTCACCTTAACCGAATAAAAAGATTAATTATGATACACGAACACAGTAAAACTGTATACATTAATGAAATTGTTTTTGGACAAGAACAACGGCGACAGCAAAAAAAAGTATTAGTAAATTTTAAGGCTGGCAAAAAAATTTAATGATTCCTCTAAAAGAAAATGTATTTAAACTTACCGCATCGCTATCACTTGAAGTGTGTCACACCCGAATACTCCACTTCGCGTTTTAAGAATAGAAACATTCGGACTGGATTTGAGCTTGCGCATTATACTTGGCAACCATATCTCGGCGTGCCCCGGGGCAGTACTTGCAATTCTTATAAACACATATAATTTTTATTATAGTTTATTGCAAATTCAAAAATAGAAATTATATATGATATCAGTCCAATGGGAAATTTATACTGCAGTGAGTTATGGTAATCGATACTACCTCATTTACGATAAGGCTGAAGCTATTAATTATGTGTATTGAAGCTTCTTTTTAATTTAAAAATAATATTATAGATTAGGTTCAGGAATGTTGCTTAGTGTAACAAAATTATATACATGTCATACATTATTCTTTAAAACATTATATTAAAACAAAACGTTTTTTCAAGTAGGATATGATGTTTTATTTTATAGAAATATTACCCTAACTGTCCTTCGGGAATACAAATATAACGCGGGCAGCACACACTGATGGATAATAAATCGGTTGTCAGTCGAAGAATAACGAGAACGGGAGTTAAACGTGATAAGATATTGCCACTGATCGACCCAAGCCATGCATAGTCAGAGTACATTCGTCATAAAATCAACACGTGTTGCATATATTAGCTAGAAATACTCATATTACGCTGAATATTCAGAACGTTGTCACGTGGTGCTCATAAACAATTAAGTCTCCTCTCAGCATTATTCAGAATTATTGACTTCACTTGCGCTTGCGCAATTGTGAATTATTGATACCATTTGAATAACCTTGAATTACAGCATGGTTTCTGGTGTGATATTGGTTTTACATTTGAAAGCTGGGGGTTGGCCGAATGTTTTTGTAATACTAACTGTCCGGTTGAACAGCCAAAACATGCGAAAACTGGCTGCATTATGTATGAAAATGGAAGTGAATGCGAATAAAAACAGACGTGAATGAAATATTTTCAAAAGACTAAATTATACCAACTGTTCAGTGGTGGATGTAGGTAACCATCATCCAAAAAAAATGTTCAATAGCGTTATCACTAGATATGTCCCCCAAAAACATTTATCCCAGATATTATCAACCGAGTGGCATGTCAACACTTGTTTGTCTGCTAAGAAGAGATGATAATGAATCGACATAACCTGTGGAAAGTTACATGAATATTAGCAGGCCATTTAGGCAAACGGTGAGATGATGAGTATGGTTGAAATTAGGAATGCATAAATGTAAAATCTGTATAATAATTTGTCCCCTTTATATACATGACGTATATTTCTGATGATTAATGATCCAAATTACGTTACACGGTGGTAGATCTGTAGATACTAAGTCAAAATTTCAAGTCCACCATTTTCTGTTGCCAA